TCCCCAAGGCAGTCTCGCTAGCGTGGGCAGGAGCGAAAGCTTACAGGACTCAGCGGAGTGCAACTCGGACAACACCAAGGCCGTTCTGAGCAATGCTTGTCCGGGTGCTGCCTGTCGGTCTCGGGGTGGACTCTGCTTTCCTTTCTGCACTTGCAACGTGACAACACCCTGCTCTGCTCGTTTCTTGTGCTGTAAAGAGCCTCTGTACATGATCCTTCCTGGGTCTTTTCTGTGTCCCTGTTAGACTGCAGCAGCTGGGAAAAACATGATTTTCAAGTCCTGCTGTAGCCACTCAAAGAATCCAGCCCAGTGAACAGGTGCCGGGAGAGTTCTCAGCAGGTGCGCCGAGAATGCTTCCTGCCTCCCCTTCCCGCCCCAATGTCGGTCGGAGCCCCCGCCCTGACAAAGGGCGGCGCTTGGCACTTCAGAGCTTGCCGACAGTTAGCGGTGAGCACCGGCACCTCTGCCTGCTGGTGGCTGTGCCGTAATCATAGCAGCTCACCAAGCCGAAGGCATCGTGCTTTCCTGAGCACTTCCAGGCAAGCCGGTCCCGAGGGAAGACCCGGGGCCACCTGACGCTTGTCACAACCAAAGGCCAAGTGACCCAGGTGTCACAAACGTTCTTCCCACACAGCCTGGGCAGCTCACTGAGCCACCACAATGCCAGCACGTGAATGCCCACCAGGTGGGACGAAACTCTGTGTGTGTGTGTGTGTGTGTGTGTGTGTGTGTGTCTCCTTCAAATTCACATGTTGTAAATCCTAACCTCTGCACCCCTGGAAGCAATGCCAGCACGTGAATGCCCACCAGGTGGGACAAAACTGTGTGTGTGTGTGTGTGTGTGTCTCCTCCTTCAAATTCACATATTGCAAATCCTAACCTCTGCACCCCTGGAAGGAGCCCTGGGTGGCGTAGTGGTGATGCATCGAGCTACTAACCACTTCGAAACCACCGGCCACTCCAAGGGATAAAGACGAAACTTTCAACTCCCGTTAAAGAGCTACAGTCTCGGAAACCCACAGGGAGAGTTCTGCCCTGTCCTGGGGGAGTCCCTATGAGCAGGTTGGCTCCATGGCAGGGAGTGAGATCCCATGGGGAAGAGGGGTTTCTTTGGCATGTTAATGAGGCCAAACCCTCCCTGTGGGGTCTGTCTTTGGGGCGTCCCTCTGAGACATCAGAGAAATTAGGCTCACAAGCCAGTCATCTCCATTGCCAGGCCCCAGGACGAAGGCCAGGGGCTGAGGGTGGGGGAACTGGAAGGAGACAGGGGCCGAGAAAGCCTTCCGCCCCAGAACCGGGCCGTGAGTTCAGAGGGCCAGCCTCCGGAACTGTGAGAAAACCCATTCCTGTGGGTCACCGTCTTGTTCTCCGGAGATGGGCTTCCTGCTTGAAAAAGAGGAGGGAGACTCTGCCACCCGGGCCCAGCTGAGGGGCCGTGGGGAGGAGGGCGCGGGCCAGGCATGCCTTGGTCGGCCTGACGTGGGTCAGAAAGGGCTTGGCGGCACCAGCCACATCTGCTCACTAAGACACCAAGTGAGAAGGCACGTACGTATTTTCGGGGCGCTGACACCCACACGTCTTCCCTCTAACTACAGTCCAGTGGGCTCGCGGTGACTCTGGATGGCGATTCTTGGTCTGCAGACGATGTGCCCAATCACTGCCTTCCAGTCCACCCTGACCCACAGTGACCCTCAGGGCCGAGTGGAGTGGCTCCGTGGACTTTGTGAGGCTGCACATCTTTCCGGAAGTTGGCAGCCTCGTCTTTCTCCCAGGGGTGGCTGATGGGGTTCAAACCGCCAACCTCTCCGGTAGCAGTGCAATGACGAACCCACTGGGCCTCTGGAGCTCTGCACTAGCAACTTGTACAAGGAGGCTTCATCCCAGGCCTCTTTCATTCGAATGTTCCTTGCATCTTCGGAAGCCCTCTCTCCTCTAGAAGCAGCTCAGTATTTAATTCCAGGGCAGTGGAGAGGAAGTGCTAAGTCCATGCCTGCAGAGTGTCATCCTCCGACCCCAAAAGCTTTGGGGGCAGACAGGGATGCTAATGAATCTCTGCTGTTTCCTCCCTTCAGGAGCACCCTGTCTGCCCTTGGGAAGCCTCCCCCTACCCGCACTCCCCACCCATCCACACACCCTCCCCTCTCTCCCCAACATATACACTCCCTCGCCGAGGTCAGAGGTGTTACAAAAATGCATTTCAGGTGACTCACTTTGGCACATTCCCACCCCCAGCCCACATGTGGAATCACTTTTCAAAGAATCTGAAACTTCTGAACCTTTACCTTGTGTCCCAATGGCTAGGGGCACCCGCAGCTTGCTTAGGTGCTGTGGCGGACGGAGGGCTGGCTCTGCGGGCAGAGAGGAGTCACCGTGCTGCGCCAGGCAAGCCACCAGGAGGAGGCTTTAAAACCAATGCATGGTTGGTTCTCCTGGGCCCCGAAACACTGGGGTGGGGTGGGGTGGCGTGGAGTGGGCTAGTCAGCCTGGGAATCCGGGATCCTTCCCTCAGTTAAAATAATCAGCTGGCAGTGGGAGGACGGAGCCAAAGGAACAGGTGGGTGGGAGGACCTGCAGGTTGATCAGAACCAGCTCCAGCCAGTCCTACCCCACCAGCATGATCCCAGGCAAGGGCACTGTGTCCATACACCTTCTCAAGGGTTTCCCTCTCTCCCGTTGAGCCTCTGCTTTACCAAGTAGGATGCTCTCCTCCGGAGACCCGTCCTTCCCAACAACACGTCTGAATTCTCGGGAATGAAGTCTCGCCAGAAGGAGCAGCCGAGTCAACCCCACAAATTAGGACATTGCTATTGTGATCATTTCCAGGACAAGCACCCTAAACGAGCCCTGGAAGTCCAGTGGTTATGCAGTTCACCAGAAGGTCAGCGGTTTGAAACCACCAGGCACTTTGTGGGGGAAAGATGAGGCTTTCTCTTCCCGTCACGAGTGACAGTCTCAGAAACCGACAGGGGCAGATCTAGCCTGTCCTAGAGGGTCGTGTGGGTCTGAACAACCTGACGGCAGGGAGTCTGGGTTGGGGGGAGGACAGTGTCCCAGAGAAGAGCATGCTCGCTGCTCTGCCTTCACGGAGACCCAGGCCTTGAGCCCTGGGGGTGGTGCCTGAGTCCTCTGCCTCCTCTGCCATATGCCCTGGCGTGTGTGTGTGTGTGTGTGTGTGTGTGTGTGTGTGTGTGTGTGTCCACAGTCGAGAACAGAGTCAGACTATCAGCTGAAGGAGGAGCTAGGAGTCAGGTCTGAATTGCAGGTTAGGGTAAGAAAGCCCAGGGCCCAAGAAGGAAGGAGCCTCCCCTGACTTAGCCCAGGCCCTTGCAGAGCACAGGCCCAGCCCACCGGCAGCAGGAGGCGGGCAGCAGCTCTGGCAGTTACTGGAAGACAAGTAAGTGCCCACCCAGTGCAGGCTCGGCTCTAGTCCCGGGAGTACTGAGCTGTGCCCGGGCATCTCTGCAGCACCTGTGCCCTCACCCAGCCCACTGACTTCATCAGAGAGCCTTCGTTTAGCTTCTTCTTAAAAAGAATGTGGGCTAGCGATGGGGCTTGGGCCCAGAGAGCACACCAATCTTAAAAGGCCCAAATTTTAAAAAAATCATCAGTAGGTTAGTCTGTTGACCACACCTACATTCCCTTTAGCGACCCAGAGTTCAGGCGCCTCGTTATCAAGGCTAGAATAGGGTGGCTGTGTTTGCAGGGAGCCCCAGAGGCCGACTGCATCACTTCTTACAGAGCTGCTGTAGTCGTGTGGCTCCCACGCAGCTCACTGCAGCTCAGGTCAAGGCCACGGCAGTGACCAGGGAGAGACAGGGCTGCGCCCGCACCGGCCTATGAATCAAGGCCTCCCTGAAGCAACCACTGAGCTCCCTTCTTCGGGCTTATGAACCCTCTCAAAAATGATAATTTTAAAAAACAACCTCAGGTCCTTCTGTAAGAACTGTTTTTCATCAACAAACAGGCCTCGGGCGATCTAAATTGCCAATAAAGAATAGCCATTTTCAAGCTACCCCACTCCATTATAGATTGCGCTAGATAGCTGGCTTCAGGAATTCCCATGGCTGTGGAAGGGCTTCTCGGGCTTACAATGACCCTGTGAAAATGGTTCCACGCTGACCAGGCTAGAATGTGACAGTGGAAATCCCCGGAGCCATGTGTTCTCAGAAATTGAATTCAAACGGAAAACAAATTCCGATTCCAGAGAAACCTAAGTTTATCAGATATTGCATTGTAAGTCAAACGGATTCAGTGAGGAAAGGGAGTCAGGTGACACAGGGAATCTGAAATAGTCCATTACGTTTCCCTGCAGGGACATTCGTTTGCTTTTTAGATCTGTGTCTGGCTACAAACACGAGTCATCCTGGGGTCCCATCTGCTCAAAGCGGTGGTCCCTCTGGTTCCACAAGAGCCAGGCAGGCAGCAGGTTTAATTACTTTCCTAGTTTCAGGAAAGACCAGCATGCAATGCACACTGCCTGGCCTCTAGGGGCTGCGCTCGGGCTAGTTCTTTGGGAAGGAATTCCTGCAAACCACCTCCCCAAATGGGCAGCCCGAGGAAATGATGAGAAGCCACAGGTGAAGTGATCCTTGGCTGTCCCAGGGCTTGGAGCTCAGCTAGACAGTCTGGTCCTCTGGCTAGTCGGTGGGGGGCGGGCAGGAGTAACAAGTGAGACCCCCGTCAGAAAGCTGGCCTCAGCCTGACCACGAAGCACATTCTCACCACCACATTCTCACCACCGGGAGAAGCAAAAGGAAGCCCCAGCTGGGTGCTGAGGCAGATGCAGTGCGCATGGTGAAGGATCTTGCAAAATCTGAACAGGGCTCCAACTGCTGAGCTGGTC